CGGCGGCAGTGCAGACCCTGCCTGGACCAGCGCGCTCTCTGGAAATAGCTCCGGCCCCGGCCCAGGCTCGTCCCCGGCCGGCAGCACCAAGCCTTTTGTGCACGCCGTGCCCCCCTCTGACCCCCTGCGCCAGGCCAACCGCCTGCCCATCAAGGTGCTGAAGATGCTGACGGCACGGACTGGCCATATTTTGCACCCCGAGTACCTGCAGCCCCTGCCTTCCACGCCTGTCAGCCCCATCGAGGTAAGGACCCTCTCCCGGGATCGCCTTGGGGCCGTTACCCCGACTGCCGCCCGACGGGGTTTCTTTCTCTTGGGACGGGGAGGTCGGTTGGAGTGATTCAGCTCCCGGATGGGGGGAGAGGCTAGCGCTTCCGCACCTCAAAACTAGGGCGGAAAGGGGGGAGAAGGTGGAACCGGGCGTGAATGCGAGGGAGTGAGGCTGCCAAAACTTGTTTCTCCGTTTGGTATGAAAGCCCCTACCCCGGCCCGGGCCCCCTCCCTCGGCACTGGAGGCAGGCGCAGGTCTGAAATACGTTCCGAAGTCGCCGTCCTCCGACTGCCCAGAAGCCAGCATATGTACACAGCCTCAGAGGCGCCAGCCGCCCGAGCCCCTACTCAGAAGAATTAAGGGGTGTGAGCGGGCAGAGAGATGCAGTTCTGGGTCTAAGAGCCGAAGAGCCGAAAACCAAACATTTTGTTTTTTTATGAATCCAGTTAGCTCTCGGAGAAGGCAGGAAGGATGTTGATGGGGGATGGGGGGGTCTGCTGCCTTTCCCAAGGGCGAGAACGTTTTCTTGGGGGGGGGCGCGCCTAGAACTGCGCCTCCGGGCTGGGAGGACCTTCCTGGGCTGTTGCGGAGGAGCGTTTGAACCCCCGAAGCCAGGATTCTAAAGGGTTTCCCCTTCTTTCTCTGTGTGACCCCCACCCCACCCCGTCTGACCCCGCAGCTCGATGCCAAGAAGAGCCCGCTGGCGCTGTTGGCGCAAACATGCTCGCAGATCGGGAAGCCCGACCCCTCGCCCTCCTCCAAACTCTCCTCGGTCGCCTCCAACGGGGGCGGCGCGGGTGGTGCCGGCGGCGGCGCCGCGGGCGACAAGGACGCCAAGTCGGGCCCCCTCAAGCTGAGCGACATCGGCGTGGAGGACAAGTCGAGTTTCAAGCCGTACTCCAAACCCGGCTCGGATAAGAA